CCTTTCATTTTGCGGAACTGTTTTTCTTCCGTTTTCTAGTATTTCTTCCTTTTTCTAGTAAAGGGTCTTTCTATTTATTCGCTTTTTTATTCGCCTCTAGATCATTTATTTTTGATGAGGTCTTTTTCCCTATTAGAAGAAGGTGTCTGAGTCGATCGAGCAGGACAGTAGTTTCTTTTACGTAGGCAAATGTTTTACCCCTGTTTGTTTGTTGACTTTAAACTCTCTTTAATCTCTTCTGGTGATGAGCTCATAACCGCTAATGTTTCCCACTTTTAGCCCACTTTTGGGTGTTTGTTTGTTTTATAGTAACTCACTCACTCACTGGTGATAGAGTCATAAATCAGCCCAATTATAAAGGGATAAGTTGTGGCGACACACACTACTTTCTTTTTTCTTTCCTTTCCTCTCCTTTTCTTTTTGCCTGCCGGTGTTCACTGGTTAGTAAAGGAGAGAGAAGAGTACCGTCATTGCAGTTGATGGTGGTTATCGCATGATCGCAAATCCTCAAACACGAGAGAGATTAAGTATAAATAAAAAAGTGCCTGCATTAGCAGCTTTGCTTATCAACAGCGGCGGCAACATGTGTCTGCTGTCTAACTTATCAGCCCACTTTTGGCGGTATTGACCTCTCTTTCTCTTTCTTTCACTTTGCTGAGTGGGTTAAGGGTGGCACGAGGATGGGCAGCTATTTTTGGACTATATTTATTAAGAAAATGTGTGGGTAGAGTAATCTAATTTAGGAGGATCTATTTCTGACTTTTTAATAATCCTACCAACATTTCTAACATCATTTTTTCCCTTCATTTTCACAGAACAAAAACTCGCTCAAGCAGTCGTCCGCAGGTCCGGTGGACCCGAACGCCAAGGCCGGCCTCGCCTTTGGCTGGATCGAGGGCGTCCTCATTCGCTGCCTGCTCAACATCTGGGGCGTCATTCTCTTTATCCGCCTCTCCTGGGTCGCTGCCCAGGCGGGAATTCTCTATGGATCGATTACCGTTCTGCTGGCCTCTGCCGCCACGGTCATCACCACGCTTTCCATGTCGGCCATCTGCACGAACGGCGAGGTGAAGGGCGGCGGAACGTACTATATGATCAGTCGGTCGTTGGGTAAGTGGGCTACAAATTTTGGGTATTTTTTGAGTATTTTTGAGTATTTTTGGGTAATTTTTTGACCCCTTTTTTTCACCCTTAGGTCCTGAGTTTGGCGGCGCCATTGGCATCATCTTCTCGCTGGCAAATGCGGTCGCTGTGGCGATGTACACGGTCGGCTTCAGCGAGACGGTCCGCGACATGATGATCAGCTTTTGGGGCTACACGATCTTTGACGGCGGGATGAATGACGTCCGGCTGATTAGCTGCATTACGGTACTGATTCTGCTCGGAATCGTCTTCGTCGGCACGGAATGGGAGTCGAAGACGCAGATGGTTCTGTTGGCGATTCTCCTCGCTGCCATGGGCAACTTTATGCTGGGCACGCTCTTTACGCCGACGCCGGAGAAGCTGAGCAAGGGCTTTGTCGGTTGGAGTAGTAAGTGGGCTTTTTGGGAGTTTGATTTTTATGATTTTTTGAGGGTTTTTGATAACCTTTTTTATTAATTTTTTCCCTCACTTTTTCCCACTAGCCACCCTCATCAAGCAGAACATGATGCCCAACTACCGCGACGGCATGGACTTTATCAGTATCTTCAGCATCTACTTCCCCGCCGCCACGGGCATCCTCGCCGGCGCCAACATTAGCGGCGATCTGAAGAACCCCAGCACGGCAATCCCCAAAGGAACGATGCTCTCCATCATCATCACCACCATCACCTACGTGGGTTTCCTGTTTATGATCGACGCGAATGTGATGCGAGATGCGAATGGCGTCGTCGAGCTGGTGGCCAACCAGACGGGAAACATCACCCCCGAGCTGATGCGCCAGATTGCCCGGTGCGACCTGGGCGAGGGCGGCAAGTGCCACTATGGGAGTATGAACTACTTTCAGGTGATTGAGATGATGAGCTGGTTTGGGCCGCTCATCTACGCTGGAATCTACGCCGCCTCGTTGTCCTCGGCTCTTGCCAGCCTGGTCTCTGCCCCCAAGGTCTTCCAGGCCCTGTGCACTGATAAGCTGCTCCCCGGAATCGAGTACTTTGGAAAAGGGTTCGGACCGAACAATGAGCCGAAGCGAGGGTACCTGCTCACCTTCCTCATCGCCTTCAGCTGCTGTCTGATTGGCGAGCTGAATGCCATCGCCCCGATTATCAGCAACTTCTTCCTCGCTGCCTATACGCTGATCAACTTTAGCTGCTTCCATGCGAGCTTTGTCAACTCCCCTGGCTTTCGACCGGCCTTCAAGTACTTCAACAGCTGGAGCAGCCTGATTGGGTCGATTGCCTGTCTGGTGGTGATGTTCATCATGAGCTGGAGTACCGCTCTGATTACCTTTATCATCTTGATGGGCATCTACGTGTGGATTATGCAGCGGAAGCCTGGTGAGTTTAATTTTTTGAGGAAGATTTTGAAGAGGTTTTTTGNCCCGATTATCAGCAACTTCTTCCTCGCTGCCTATACGCTGATCAACTTTAGCTGCTTCCATGCGAGCTTTGTCAACTCCCCTGGCTTTCGACCGGCCTTCAAGTACTTCAACAGCTGGAGCAGCCTGATTGGGTCGATTGCCTGTCTGGTGGTGATGTTCATCATGAGCTGGAGTACCGCCCTGATAACGTTTATCATTCTGATGGGCATCTACGTGTGGATTATGCAGCGGAAGCCTGGTGAGTTCTTTTTTGAGGAAGATTTTTAAGAAGGGTTTTTTATAACATATTTTTCTTCTCTTTTTTTAGATGTCAACTGGGGCTCTTCGACCCAGGCAGCGAACTACCGCTCGGCCATCTCCTCCGTCTACCGCCTCAGTATGGTGCCGGATCACGTGAAGACGTATCGGTAGGTTTTTTAGGAATTTTTTTTTATTTTATTTTTTATTTATTTTTATTTATTTAATTAGACCCCAAATTCTGCTCCTTTCGGGCAACCCTGGCACGCACTCCTCCATGGTCGACCTGGCCTATCTGATTACCAAGGGCACGGGAATGCTCATTTGTGGAAATATTATTACGGTGAGAGATTTTTTATTTAGTTTTTTAGTTTTTTAATCTCGTTTTTTGCCCCCTCCCTTTTCCCAGTCGCCCATCTCCAACCGCGCCCAGAACGTCATCCTCCAGGACTCTCACCTCTGGCTGATGAAGCGCAATGTGAAGGCTTTCGTCAATCTGGTTCAGGAGGCGAACTTCTTCCAGGGCGTGCGTTCGCTGATTCAGGCGACGGGAATTGGAAAGCTTCGCCCGAATGTGGTGATGCTCGGCTTCAAGAACAACTGGACCAATGTGGAGCAGGACGAGCTGCTCGACTACTTTAAGACGATTCAGTGAGTCGAGGTTAAAGATTTTTGACAGTTTTATAATAACTTTATTTTTAGCCTCATCTTTGATAAGCACCTCTCGCTGGTGGTCGTCTCCATTCCGGAGAGTCTCTGTGGACCGAGTGGACCGGCTTCAAATGGAGGTAATGGAAGCAGTGGTGGTGGAAATGCCAACAGTGTCAGCATTAAGATGAAGGAGAGTGATGGTAAGTTTTTTGCTTTAATTTGAGGAGTTTTTATGACTATTTTAACTCTTTTTTAACTTCTTTTTCTTCAGGAGACGTCATCCCCCACGAGAACAGCTACTTTGCCTGCAAGCAGAAGAAGGGCGGCTACATTGACGTCTGGTGGCTGTACGACGACGGCGGCCTCACCCTCCTCCTGCCTTATCTCATTTCGGCCAATCTCCTCTGGAAGGACACCAAACTTCGCATCTTTGCCC